TTGATATTCTCAGAGGATAAAGGATCTTATGGAGTGAGAAAGGAGGGACGAGAAGAAAGTGAACTTTCTTAATTTCTTCAGCTAAGTGAGGGGCTGGATAGTTGAACATAAATAACTAACTTTTTAAGAACATGGCAACAGTTGATGAAATGCAACGTGAAGCAGAAAAAACAATGTTGGAGGTTTGTGCAACACCAGATACTTCTACGGAACAAGGACCGGCTACTGTACCGGATGTGGTTGAACCTGCAGTAACTAGCAAACTGCCGGAACCATCGGAAGAAGCAGTTCCTCCCAGAAAAATAGGAATTGTTGAGCCAGAACAGCGAGTGCAAAAGATCAAAATTCTAATTCGCAGAAGTAAAAGTGTAAGTGACATTTATTAACATTTCTCTTCTGCATTTTTGTCGAATCAGAATCAGCTGGTTTGGCTTTAAAGTTCTTTGACAGGTTGAATTTATTGGCCACATGCAAAATTTTACCTCTTCAAAATTAATATATGCGTATTCGTATGAAAGTATTAGTAGAGGCCGCGGCATAATACATTATGCCAGTGCATGCGATTGCTGAAGCTACGTATTGTCACGGGGTTGTCTGTGTTTGTGTGTGTGTATGTCCGCAGCAACTTGTCCGCAACTTTCAACTCTGGAACCGCAAAAGGTGGGGAGCTGAAAATTTAGGGGGACGTTCCCCACCCACGTGTCATCCCGCAAATTTAAATTCAGCTTCCCCGTACCCGATGGTAACACGTACGGCTCTGCGAAAGTTTTTTACGAGTAAATCGATATCTCGGGAACCACGGAGTCTAGGAGGCTGAAATTTTAGGGTAATGACCATTTGCCCACGCTCAACCTTGCTCATTCAAATTCAGCCTTCCCGTACCCACGGATAACTCGTACGGCCCCGTGAAAGTTTTTTACGAGTAAATTATTATCTCGGGAACCACGAAGTCTAGGAAGCTGAAATTTTAGGGTAGTGACCCCCTGCCCACGCTCGAATTTGCCTATTCAAATTCAACGTTCCCGCGCTGTCGGCTATCACCTACGGGCTAGTAAAATTTTTTGCGGGTAAACTATTAACTCGGGAATCACGGAAAGATATTTATCCTTCAGGGTTTCGAATTCAGCTTTCATGCGCTGGTGCGTGAAATTTTTAACTGTTTTCCAGTGTTTGAATTATTTTTGCATAGACTAAAATAGAAAGCAGTGAAAGTCATTAATAGGCAATCGTTGCATTGATCGCACCGACTAGCCTGGTGCGCATGATCGCACTGACTAGCCTGTTGCGCGTTGCTATTTATTCCATTTCCAACATTTGTATTCCCAAATTCACGAAAATTCAATAACACATGAGTCCTATTAAGAGTCGT